GTCCCAGGGGACACGACGCCTCCACGTGTTGCCGCGGCCTCGGCCCCCGCGTCTGCCTCGGCGGGACAGAGCCTCCCCTGGGCGCGCGGGGACGGGGCTCGCACCCACTGGGCCACCCGGCCAGGGCTCCAATGGCTCACAGGCACCCCTTTCCCAAAAACGTTTTGGGCCCGGCAGCGATATGGAGGAGCCGCAAGTGCTGGGGAGCCCAGCCCACCTGCGCGCCTGGGCAGCAGCTGCCCTCCTGGCCACCCCACAGGGCACAGGTGAAAGCACAGGGATGGAGGCCTGCACCCCTCGGTCACCAGTGACCACACGGGCTCCCAGTAAGCAGGTCCTGCACGCTGACCTCGGCCCAGGGGGGGCCCTGGTCGTGCCCCTTCAACCAGGACCACTGGGCCTGCTCCCACAGGTGCCCTGGAAACAGGCCCCCAGGGCCTCCACCCCCGGCAGGGATGCAGAGGGGAAGTTCTTGGGCACCTGCCTCCCTTTTCTTGCTGATCCACAACAAAACACCCACATTGAAGTGTGCAATGCTGCTCTTTTTAAGATGACTTGTCCCCAACTGTTACCAAAGCTTGAATATTAGGAAAAAACAAAACATTCGATTTAGAGAAAGTATATTTAACGTCAGGCTAACATTTTATTTAACACTATATTGCTTAGCTACAATAGACTTATCCTTATAAAACTAAGTAACATTCTTTTGTAGTAAAAACCCCATACCTGCCCTCCCGAGGCAGCATCTGAAACTCCAGGCCGAGGCTGGGAGTAGCTCGTGGCTGCCCCCTCCATCTAATGCCTTCATCTTCTGAGCACCCCAAGGGCCCACAAATCCTCTGCTCCCTAATCCCTGGGGTTTGGCGTAGCCTTGGGTGAGTTCGACCAGCTGGGTCCATCACCCCTACTTAAGATGGCCAGTTTTAGGGGGGGCTTAGGGACGAGTGTGAGGGCTCCAGTAGCCGTGACTGTCGGAGTTGGGCCCTGGCACTGCCCTCCCCGCTCCCCACCAGGAATTGGTGCCTTGACCACTGGGCATGTCCCCTTCTGAACCAGGTGGGCCCTGTGGGGCTGTGGCCAGTCCTGTGCTGCAGCCTGACAAGCTTGTGGAGATGTAGTTTGCCACTGTGGCACTTGGTCTTCAGCTCAATGCCTCCTCAGCCAGGAATCTGAAAGCTTGGCTCTTCCCTGGACTCTTGGGGGCAGCAGAAGGCACATAGGTAATGACCCTCCAGGGGATGAGTAGTCCCAGAAGCACATGGCTAAGGGGCAGGTGACAGAGCAGCCAGTCCCTTACCAAGCTCCTGATGGGAAGCCCAGGGTCTCTGTGGGCAGGGAGCAAGTAGGGGCCACCTCATCCAGGAGCAGCCACCAGAAAGCCCCAGGTAGTGCTCTCATCCTGGAGTTGCACCCTAGGTCTATCCTCCACCATCAGGCTCTATGGGGCCAGCAGCTGGCTTGGGGACAGAAGCAGGAGGACCGACCACAGCTGGTCTTGGGAGAATCTGGGTCTGGCGGCTAACCAAGGGGCAGATGTGCTCCATAAAATTAAGGCAAGTGGCCCAGGTTAGGGCCATGGCGGGTAGACCCCAGGGTCTCCCAAAGACAGCTCAGGGGTCCCAGAGTACTCTGGAGATGGACCCAAGCCATGTTCGGTGACCTGTACCCACCCGTACCCAGAGGAGTGGGAAATGGAGACAGGGCCCTGAAGGCCCATCTCACTGCCACTGCCAGAACTTCAGCAGAGAACTTCCTCTCTAAACAAAAGCCTTCATCCTTCTGCAGCTGGGTAAGGAGCCCTGGGCCTGGAGCCTGGCTGCTCCCCGAGGCAGCAGTGGGGGGGCTTTGCAGGGCTGGCAGGACCCCCATGGCCACTCCCTTGCCCTGGCCCGACCAACTCAGCGCACGGAGCAAACGTCCAGGATACAGAAACGCGCACGGCAGGTGGGGCAAGGCACTCGGCTAGCCAGCCAGGTGTCAGGGCGCTGCGGGTCCTGGCGGCTGGCAAACCACTTGCCCATGCAGGTGAGACACCACATGGGGCGACAGTAACACTGCTGGCACTCGCCCTCAGCTGCCTCCTGGCAAGTCTTCACCAACTTCACATTGGCACGTGTCTGCATGCAGCCGATACACGCCTCCAGCTCCTGCAGGTGGCCCAAGGGGGTTATAGAAGCCAAGCCTGGACACCCCCATGGGATCTCCCACAACCCCGAGGACCTGGCTTATGGGGGCCCAGCAGTGGGAAACTACCCTCCTGCCCTCCCAACCCCTGCTCAGCCCCACCTGGCTGCTAGGGACCGAGTATGCTGGGTTGACCTCCACCAGGGAGGCAAACGTCTCCAGGAATAGGTCGCCCAGGCTCTGGCGGATGACCACGTTGGCCGCGCTACGGATGGGCGCCCGGAGCTTCTCACACAGCTCGCCATACTCCGTGGAGTTCAACCTGCATAAAAAGGGCTGCTGGGCTAAGGCCACTAGGCCCAGGCCCCTTTGTAGGGCAGGACCCTGTTCCCAGGTGGCCTGACAAGAACCCTGGGACGACCCTAGCCAGTTTGGCTCAGTAGAGTGTCAGTCCGAGGACTGAAGGGTCTTGGGTTCGATTCCGGCCAAGGGCACATATCCCCCCCCCCC